AAGTGCCCCCCTTGCCCTACCTGCGGGCGCCCACGCTTAGTGGCAACCTAATTGTGAGTGGGGTGGGGTGGGGGACAGGGGGGGAGGGGTGGGGGACACATCCTACACATATCTGATTTATCCATTCATAAGTTAGATTCATTTCTTTTAAAATGACGGTGTTTCCCACACAATCACACGCACGAGCCAACAATTTTTTATTTTTTTTTAAATGGTTGAAACCATCTCTTTCCCCATCCCACATCAATGGTCACATTTAAATACGTCTGATTGCACATGAAAACATCGTATATGCTAAATTGAATCTCACTCAGGTAAAACAAAGGTTGACGTTTGTCTTCATTATTTCCAGGTGGCTTCGTGGACGGAGAGGGCACAGCCCCAGGCACCACGAGCCCTATATCGTTCGTGATCACAAACGTCTGCCCTGTCGCGGGCAACGAGAAATGGTGCTGTAAGTCTGACCTAGATCAGTACAATCTGATTATAGTTTATGGTTGTTGCTTTTTCAAATACTGGTCTAAAGTTATAAGGTAGTAAACTGCGGTGTGATTTGTTCATTTAGTTCAGCATTAGGTCTAGTCTGAATGCACGGTTGATCTAATCTGAATACACGGTTGATCTAATCTGAATAAAAGTTAGGTCTAATCTAAAGATATGTTAGGGCTCATCTACACATGTGGCCAGTGGCATTACATCATTTCGTTTTCATCACGTCTCTAACATAATTTATCAGATTGACATCTGTTTCATGTTGAAATTATACTAAATACACGATCGTAGAACTGGAGGCGGGGGGGGGGGGGGGGGAGGTTGATGAGGGCGGCAGGGCCGTCTGTACAGCAGCAGAAGACCTGGGCACAGTAATGAACTGAGGTCCCTAACCCTCTATATATTCAGTGCCGTGCTAAAGAGGTGGCGTGAGGGCCAATCACCCATGGCGCCAATATCGGGGTCCTGCAGTATCGTCTTAAGTTAGGCCCATGATAGTGAATTAAACGATAAAATCACATGTACTTGACATAGAAAGGGGGTCGCAAAATTCGTCCAACCAGTGCGCCCTGGGCATCACTTTCCTGTGAACGGCTCTGTCTATAGCCTACTATTCCAGTAATGTTATGAAGTATTCATTGACAATATATAAAGCGTGTTGCCTTTAAAAGAGCAAGTCTTCTAGAAATGTTTTGCCCCCCCTATAAGTGTTTTGCCCCCTAGAAGTGTTTTGCCCCCTAGAAGCGTTAGGCCCTGGGCCAGTGCCAAGTGGGCCCCATGCCTTAAGACGCAACTGGATTGGAGTGGGTGGGGGGGGTTTGTCCGCCCAGGGCTGCCCATTTATTCTCTTTTTGCCCCCCCTATAAGTGTTTTGCCCCCTAGAAGTGTTTTGCCCCCTAGAAGCGTTAGGCCCTGGGCCAGTGCCAAGTGGGCCCCATGCCTTAAGACGCAACTGGATTGGAGTGGGGGGGGGGGTTTGTCCGCCCAGGGCTGCCAATTTATTCTCCCTATATTTTGATGGGTGGCATTTTCTGACCAAGTGCAGATGGTGTATTTTTATTTATTTTATTTTATTTTATTTTTTTGGAGTGGGGGATGCTACGAAAGGGACGGCTAAAAGCTTAGCACCGGCAGCACTAACCTTGGCCGTGTCACTGGCTTAACATGTTCATTATTGTAACGCCAGTATTGGAAAAAACTCACATCCTCTATACCAACATACTGGTTTCTTTTAAAAATAATTTTTAAAAAAAAATGGCTTCTAGATATACGCCTATTACAGTGGTTCGGTCGGCAGCAATCAAGTTTAGTTAACACTGATCCTTGTACTAAAAATTACAATAAAATAAAAGTCTTAGACCCCAAAGAAGAAATTATTCCCTTAACATATTCTTTATGCTTTATCTTGTCAATTTATGAAATAGTCAAGTCAATTTATGAAAGCAGGTGATTCAATTTATAAAAGTGATAATGGTCAATGGGGGAAAGTAGGTCAGTCAATTAAAGAAAGTAAGATTCGTCAAAGTGGATTAATTTTTTGTATCCACAGCCAGCAAGAACAAATTCGGTTATGACTTCCACTTTAACCTTCAAAACAACCAATCTCAAATATCTAGCACGTTGAATTGGAACAACCCGGAAGTCACGTGGAAGTATGTCTCGTGCTCCGCAGAACAGACCAGTAATTACACGCAGTGCGAGTGCAGTTCTCCGCTCGACCTGAGGCGCCTTGTTTAAACATGAAATCAGTCGCTTCTTGATTTTGAATTGTAACAGCTGGTAATAAAGTGAAGATATCAGCAAAGAGAGAAACAGTTTTATTATTGGATTTTTTATCTATTTCCCCGTGTTCTTCTCCCCCCTCTCCCTCTCCCCCTCTCTCTCTCTCTCTCTCTCTCTGTGTCTATCTCTTTCTCTCTTTCTCTCTTTACTCTCTATCGCTTTCTCTATGCCTCTCTATCACTCGTTCTCTCAATAACATCTCTCAATCTCACTTTCTCATTCACACGCTCTCACTTTATCCTATGTTAATCTTCTGCTCAATCCCCCCATCTTTCACCCCCACGACCTCTCATTCCCTCTCTCTTTCATTAACTTACAAGTCTCGATACATGTAACAAAGTGCGGGCCAACGATAGAGCAATCCGACGTTTCGGTCGGATGAGAAAGGGGTGGAGCTAACTTTTTTTAATTGGAGAAAGTGAGATTGAGAGATTTTCTGGTTCGACATACGAACGATGCAATTTACGACCATTCGACTTCACAACCACAATCACTAGCCATATTAGTATTAGATTTCAGATTTAAATTTCTGCCTTAATTATCAGTCGAACGGCGTTGTCTGCAATCATTGGCGGTCGTTGACTAAGGAAAGGGCGGCATGATGCTATGATGATGCTATGCTGCTAGCCGCCGTCATCAATTTCTAAGAAATAACACGGTCACACTCAACAACCCTAGGTCCATTAACTTCCCCAAGCGTGGCTAAAGATTGTTGATTGGAGAGCTCTTCAGAGTTTGAACATTTCACTCCTATCTCATATTATGAAAATTATGATTCACAACAATAATAAAAGAAATTTACGATATAATTGAACTTAAATATTTTTATAACATCACTTCACATTACTGTACACGTAGCGTACTCAACTTACGACCAAATCGTGCTACGACCAATGTTCCCTTTAATCTGCGCGGCTGCGCGGCGGCGCAGCTATCTCTCAGACGCCGCGCAGCAGTTTTGAGTACCCGCGCAGCAAATTTCCATGTAAGTGTGTGTTTGTGTTTGTGGGGTGTAAGACTTTGCACACACAAAAATTGATGCTGTAAAACTTTGCACACAACTGTATTATTTTGCACACGAACCAGCAAACCTTAGAGGGAACATTGGCTACGACCCGTCTTTCGGAACCGATTGTGGTCGTAAGTCGAGCACCGGCTGTATAATTTTTAAAATTATTTAAGAATTAAAATTTATTTTGTAATCATCGCGACCGGGTCGCAATTACGTCATCCATTTTGTTTTCTTTTCGCGACTCGAATCGAGCAAGAGCTGCTTCAATAAAAAATAATGTTAATATCCAGAATGTGTAAAGAAAACATTAAAATTGGCTGTGAATCCCTAAGTGACTCTTTTGATTATTGGGATACAGATCAATATGAAAAAAACATCAGATGAAGACGTGGATGTTTCTTGACCTACACAAGTAGTGTCAAACGAGGTAAGTGCACTCGATTAGGCCACTAAAATTAACATTTCTGAATAATGTGAACATCAAAATATATTGTACAGCTAAATAACAGGTTTTCTTATTATAGTTTAACAATGTTGTAATGATATTTTTTTTCCAATCGTGTTTTGAATTTACATTTTTTTTTAAACATTTGTTTGTTTACACAATCAGCTGATCAAACAGCTGAATTTAGGTTTCATTGTTGTTTTTTTTTGTCTTTGTGTTTACCCTAACTCTAACGAGTAAATAATGGAAGTTATTAATTTATTCTTTTTTTTAAATATGTTACTAGATAGTATATGTCATACAGCCTTAAATTTAAAATATTTTTTTTCTCTAATCAGTGCAGATTATACATTGCCAATTGACTTAGACTTTGAACAAAACATATGAAGACGTTGACCAGGGTCCCCCCTCAGACCACACCTAAATGTATCCCTACAAGAAAACATGGTCTCAATATTTTTGATTATGAAAAGCAGACAACTAGAAATGATATTCAAAAACTAACAACTTGAAGGTAAGGAATATTTGATATTATAATTGCAGTACTAATGAATGATAAATAGGCATACCGTTTAGCTATAGGCCAAATATTTAGGATTTTATGCTTGATAATTTTTGGGGCAAAAAATAGGTCCCTTTTCTTATCCTAACATTATATAGTAATTTATATTACTATAACTATTATTATTGTTATGCTATTGTTACATCTGTTCTAGATCAATAAACTCTGCTAATTTGTCATGCTGATATGCAATTTACAAATAAACTATTTTTCGTCCACAGGAAATATTAGATTAAAGAAATGGCGTCAGCGGGCCGTCGAGCTTGCGCTCTTTATGCCCTCCCCCAAAACATCGACATGCCACCACAGACTTGCCAACCGGAGACCGGGAAGTTCGTCCACAGGAAATTTGTTCAAACACTGTGTGTCAGGAGATAATGTTGATAATTAGTGACTACGCCAATGCTTATGCCAACCTTATGAGAGAAGAAAAACAGTACCTCTATGTTAACTTGGAAGAAAATCACCTAAAGAACTCAACATTTGTTTATGTTAACTTATGTAAATGAACCTAATTCCGCGCTGGTGTGTTACTGTCTTGAAAAGACAGAGCGTCAGACTGTAATTGTAATTAAATGTTTGAAATGTGATGAAACATTTCTGTCTAAATAAGTGACATTATTGTTTATTGTTAGAACGTCCCCTAAACTCAAAAGACTCTTAGACTGTGTTTGTGCGTATTAAGGACTTGATTTAGTCATGTAAGCTCTATCTTTATTATTATTATTTTCTATTTATTACTTTTTTATTAAAATTTCAAATATTTTTTTTTCAATTACACACATTAGTTGTTAAATGTATTTAAATGTATTTGTATTAGATATGAACTTTTAATATTAAAAAAGGGTTTTAAACTTAGTATTTGAATAAGTCTGCGTGGCAAGATCACTTGTCTAAATTTAACTACAAAACCTCTATTTACGCTTTGTTTCGCAAAATGAAATATTAAAAGAAAACCAAGGGTTGTATTTGGAAAATTCTTTTGTTTTAATTTTATATATTATATTGCATCATTGAATTCCACTAAATATTTAACTATTTCTGCCATAGGGTTTCTTTCCGCTTCTTAAACAGTGTTGTTTGTCTGGGAAAAAATGTTGTTAAAATGTAACATAATTTTCACATATCAATCACGATTGTACGAAAACACACAAACATTTTCAAGCATATTTTATAGACCTTAGATCCCCATTCATTTGTGAACAATTAAATATATTACATAATGGGTATTAATTTGCGAATCTTTTATATGACGACGCAAAGTTATCCTGTGAGTCTGAAGTGAATGCCCGAGACTGAATTTGTTGGTGAAATACACGCAGAGCACATTCTTTCAACTTTTCAGCCCCACCCCACAGCCCTATCTCCAAAAATCAGTTTTAACGCCATAAGAATCCATAGATTTTAGGAAATAAAATTCCCGATAACTGTGCTAAATGAGATACTTTTAAAAGGGGGTTTCGTGGCCTGAAAGTGCACTGCACCAGGAACCACCAACCCTGTAACGTGTGTGGTCACCGACGCCTGTCATGTCGCAGGCCACGGGAAATGGTGATGTCATCTTTTCAAGATCAGAACAAGCTGATTATCTTTTTTTCTGTGTGCTTTTCATATTTTCCATTATTAAAGTTAAAATGCACCTAAATGTGGTGTTGTTTATTCATTTATTTCATCGTTACAACTTATCTAAATACATGTTAGTGCTAATCTCAATACATGTTAGTGCTAATGTGAAAACTTGATAGGTCTAATCTAAATACATGTTAGTGCTAATCTGAATACATGTAAGGCTAATCCGATTACACGTTAGGTCTTATGTGAATACATGTTAGGTCTAATCTGAATACACGTGAGGGCTAAACTGAATACATGTTGGGTCTAATCAAAATACATGTTAGTGCTAATCTGAATACATGTTAGTGCTAATGTGAAAACATGTTGGGTCTCATCTAAATACATCTTAGTGCTAATCTGAATACATGTTAGTGATAATGTGAAAACATGTTAGGTCTAATCTAAATACACGTTAGTGCTAATCTAAATACACGTTAGTGCTAATCTAAATACACGTTAGTGCTAATCTGAATTACATATTAGTGCTAATGAGAAAGCATGTTAGGTCTCATCTGACTACATGTTACGGTTAAACTGAATACATGTTACGGCTAATCTGAATACATGTTAGGGCTAATCTAAACACATGTTACGGTTAATCTAAATAAATGTAAGTGCTAATCTGAATACATATTAGTGCTAATGTGAAAACATGTTAGGTCTAATCTAAATACATGTTAGGGCTAATCTGAATACATGTTACGGCTAATCTAAATGCATGTTAGGGCTAATCTGAATACATGTTACGGCTAATCTAAATGCATGTTAGGGCTAATCTGAATGCATGTTACGGCTAATCTAAATACATGTTTCGGCTAATCTGAATACGTGTTAGATCTAATCTGAATACACGTTAAACACAACTAAAAATAAAAAGAAATAAGTATAACCCGTGCATGGTCAAGGGAACCTAAATTTCAAATAGCTTATTTTCCGTGGAACGATGCAAAACTAAATTCGTGTATGTGCCAAAATGCAGTCTACCCCTTTAAAATTATTAAAACATTTCTGGGAATGGGCTTACTAAAACCACTCTCCAAACCTGACTCCCAGTTTCGTTCGGCACCCTCCCCAATTAAATTGACAGTACGGACATATTTAGATCTTTAAAAAAAAGCCCTGGATGTTGGTAAATACATTTTTGTTGGTATATACATTTTTGTTGGTAAATACATTTTTTGTTGGTAAATACATTTTTTGTTGGTAAATACATTTTTTGTTGGTAAATACATTTTTTGTTGGTAAATACATTTTTGTTGGTAAATACATTTTTTGTTGGTAAATACATT